AGTTAGGTAAATAAGAGAACTGATTAAATAAACAAGCACACCAACAGAGTAGTGACTGATTAATGGGTAGATGTCAACCTGAAGGGAGGTCTCTAGAGGAATGCCACAAGATTCTGCCTTTGGCCCTATTCTAGTCAACATTTCTATGAATGACTTAGGTAGAGTTATAGATAGCATCTTTTTCAAGCTTTTGGTTGACATAAAAAATTGGGAGAGGTTTTAACATTGGCTAATCAAAAAACTTCAATAGTCAGGATCAAAAAACCTCAATTGCCTACAATCTAGAATAAACCAAATCTAAAAAGGTAAAATTTTATAAGTATAAATATAAAACCTTACTCTTAGATTTGGAAATTCAACTACAGAAATATAAGATGGAGAAATATGGCTAGACAACAATTCAGGTGAAAAATATTGGCACATTATAATGGACTGCAAGCTCATGAGTGAAGAGTAGGACGTGTCAGGTGAAAAAAAGTTAATATAGAGTATTCCAAACTTCTTTACTCCATTCCCTAAAACTACTCCTCTTTCTCTTTCTGGGGGGAAAAAAAACACATCGTGCCTTCTTACTTTACATAGAGAAAATAAAGGCCCAATTTGAACTCTCTCAACACTTTCATATACATTTTCACAGTCCTTTGCTCCAAACTCAGAGAAAAAGGAGGTCCTTTTTTGTGAAGGTCAACAATTTCACTTGTGCCCTAGGCCCCATTCCCTTCCATCCTTCTCTAGTAACTTGCTCTATCACTTCCTTTCTCTGGCAAAAGACAGTTCCTGGACTCAAGGAGCTTACAATCTAACGAGGGAAGATACATGCAAACAAATACGTATAAAGCAAGCTATACACAGGATAAATAGGAACTAATTAACAGAGGAAAATCACTGAAATTAAGAGGGGTTGGGGAAGGCTTCCTGTAAAACATGGGATTTTACTTGGGAATTAAAGAAAGCCAGGGAGGTCAGTAATGAAAATGGAGGAGGGAGAGCATTCCAGGCATGGAGGAAAGCCACAAAAATGACCAGAGCTAAGAGATGGTATGTCTTGTTCATGAGACAGTCAGTGTTACCTAACTGAAGAGTATGTGGTGGGGAGTAAGGCGTAAGAAGACTTGAAAGGTAGGAGGAGGCTAGGTTATGAAGGGCTTTGAATGACAGAGCATTTTGTATTTAATTCTGAAAGTGATAGGGAGTCACTGGAGTTTACTGAGTAGGGGGGTGTGTGTCTATGTGTGACATGACTGGACCTCCACTTTAGAAAAACCACTTTAGTGACTGAATAGAGGAGATAGATTGGAGTGAGAAGAGACTTGAAGCAGACATACCTACCAGCAGGCTCTTGCAATAATGAGGTAGCCTGCACTAGAGTGGCAGCTGTGTCAGAGGAGAGCAGGGGGAGTATTGGAGAGATGTTGCTGAGGTTAAATTGACAGGCTCTGGCAACAGCTTGATATGTGGGGTGAGAGATAGTAAGAAATCCAGGATGACTCCCACATCTCAAGCCTGAGGGACTGTGAGGATGTGTTGTCCTCTACAGTAACAGGTATGGTGGGAGGTGGAGGACAGGGTTTAGGGGAAAAAATAATGAATTCTATCTTGGCATAACAATATGTCTGCTGGACATTCAATTCAAGATGCCTGAAAGGCAGATGGAAATGTAAGAGCGGAAGTCAACAGAGAATTTAGGGTAGGATAGTTAGAAGTTCCTAGAAAGGATGGTCTATTCCCACTATCTCCATTTAGCTTTTGACAGTGATAACCACTACTCTTCCTGTTTCTCCAAGCCTTCCTTGAGTTTCTCCTACTTTTATCATTCATTTCTACTTCCTTCTTCTCCCCCCCAACCCCACACAAAGCAATACTGGAGTATTAACTCTTCCCTGACAGCAATATATTTTTTCCTACCTTCATGCATTTGTGTTTTTCAGGGTTTCCCTCTCCTCCATGCATTTTGCATTTCCACAAGCAGTCCTCGATGCCTGAAATGCTCCCTTTTTCAGAATCCTTAGCTTCCTTCAAGGTTCAGCTCAGATTTCACCTTCTCTGAAATCAGGGGTTCTTAACCTGGGCTCTATGAATTTTTTTTTTTATATCTGGAAAACTGTACTTTGACATAATTGGCATCCTTTGTAATCCTGAATATTTTATTTTATTCATTTAAAAATATTGTTCTGAGAAGGGGCGGGTCAATGGACTTCACTAAACTGTCAACAGCGACCAAGACACAAAAAAAGATTAAGAACCTATGTCCTAAACCCTTTGTTGATGTACCCAATTATTAATGATCTCTCCCTTCTGCAATTCTCTTGTATTTGCTTATCGGTGTATATGTTGTATTCCTGCCTCCAAGGGCATTTTTGTCCTTGTGTCCCTAGCATGAAGCCCAGTAACCTGCACAAAACAGAAATCCAAGAAATGTTTGTTGAACTGAATTGAACAATGTTCAGAAAAATGCAGGTAACAGTCCCAGGTTCTCTACTCTGGTCAGACCACAATGGAAGAAAGTACTAAGCTCAGTTCTTAGGAATACATTTTAAGAAGAATCTTGACGAGGTAGAACATATTCAGAAAAGAATGAACAGGACAGTAAAAAGACCTGAAACCATATCAAATGAACTGAAGATATTTTTCCTGGATGAGAAAAATACTTGGAAGATGAGAAGAGGGGAAAAGAAAGGGACATACTATAGTTTTTAATTAAGTACTTAAAGGGCTGAGAAGGCATTAGATTCTTTTACTTGGTCTAAGACCCCAGAAACAGAAGCAATGTACAGTTGCAAAGAAACAAATTTCCATTTGCCTTCAACTTCCCAAAACTTAACAAATAAAGGGAAAACTGCATAATAAGTAGAGTTCTCAAAAGTGAAAAGTGATCTAGGAAACAGTGAATTCTCCTTTTCAGAGGTCCTCCAGCAGAGGCTGCATAAAGCATTTTTAAGGAATGTTGTTTCAGAGGGCATTTCTGCTCATTTATGATTTGAAGTAGGGTATCCAAGGTTCGTTTTCTGAAATTGTGTGACTTATTAATCTTTTCTCAATCTTCTTCAAGAAGTCTGTCAAGTTGCCATGATCTGAACCAGACAAAACCTTCTAAGAAACTCTTATCTGTTGTACAGTAGTTTTCCTGTTCAGTATTTTTCATATTTTCTAATTTTTTTTATGTTTTCTCCTTCATACTTTTTATATACAAAGCCACAAACAGATGAGTTGTGATCTGTGCCAGTGGAAAGAATACTTGTAAAGACAGGACCACAGGTCCTGTAAAAGGACACAGAAGTATCTTTTTTACATAAAAGGGGTTGTTGTCACATCACCTCTAGACCAGAATACCTTGGAAAGAAGCAGCCTCTCAACCACAGCCTTTGTAAAGTTAAAGAACATATCTTCTACTTGTCACGTATCACATCTCATTATGGATCTATTGTGGCTTCTCAAAAATAAATTTAGAATAAACAGTGGCTAAAATTAGCATGTCACCAAGTAATAATATCAATTTAGAATGAGAGTCTATCTATGCAAACTACATTTCAGTTTATATCAAGTAGCCTGATACAGTGAAAAAAAGCACTGGTTTTGGAGTCAGGAGACCTGGGTTCAAATTCTGCCTCAGACCTTTAATATCTGTGACCTTGAGCAAGTAACTCAACCTCCTGAGGCATCTGTTTCCTAATCTGTAAAATGAGGGGACTGGCCTCTCATGTCTCAGATAGGAAACTTGTAATTTCACTGTTGTTGGGAACTCCAGATAGGGAAACTTTCTCTTCCAAAATTATCACTGAAATGGTATTCTAGTCTTAGCAGTGACACTCACTGTAAGCCTGGGTAAATTCTTTAACCGCAGCCTCATTTGCTCATCTGCAAAAATGAGAAAGATGGGCAAATGTTCTCTAGGGTCCCTTCCAGCTCTAACATTCTACAATTCCACTGAGGTTGGAATACTTTCTAACCCAGTATTCTGGTAAATATTCAAAGTGTACCTGTCCAGTGTCACAAAAGGCCAAGCAAGCCTTGGTGCTTTTCCAAAGTTTAACCTGTCTAGGAGGGGGTCATCTAGGGTGTCACTATACTCAAGGTGTGTTTGGAGGACATGGATTAATGGGGGAAGGTCCTCAATACAATGAGATGAGAAAAGTTAAAAACTCTGGGTGTCCCAGCAGATCTAAAGGCAGTGTGGGTGGGTACATGAAGAAGACCTGGTACATTCTCCCGACCCCGAACAGTGCACAGCGAAGAAAGAAAAGGTTCAGGTGGGTTTGGAGGTTCAAGCTGTCTAGGAATAGCACCGCCACCGCGTCCCCCCACCCCCTGGGCAGAGTGTCAGCCAGACAAGTTCCGTGTTTCCAACCAATCACATGTAGCCACAACAGAGGGATCCACCAAAGGGGCATGGTTTCAGGGGTAGAGAGGGAGAGGAACCAGCCGCCGCACCTGTCAGCTTCACCCCCGACCACGGCCTTTCCGGACAGACCTTCCCCAAGCACCCCCACCCCCACCCCGCAGGGAGCAAGGCCACGCCCCCGAGCCCGGCTCCCCCGCCTCCACGGCCGCGCCGAGGGGGCCTCCGTCTCTGCCCACCCCACCCCCCGGTGCTGATGAGGGGAAGGGGCGGCTTGCAGCGTTTCACTCAAGCTCTAGACCCTCAGCCTTCCCTTCTCCGCAAATGTCTCAAGCCCACCGCCCTGAGCCACCGGCGCCGGGGCCGCCTGGGGATTTCCTCCCATCCCAGGGTCCAGTGGTCAGGCCTCCCCCCACCACCACGCCACAGAGGGCTCAGCCCCTGCCCCCCCGCCGGCCCCCGGCCCCGGCCCACCCCACCCTTCCCGGCCCGGCCGGCGGGAGCAGGCCGCGGGGGGGAGCGAGACCCTGGCCGGGGGGGGGGGCGGCGCGGAGCGCCGGCGGGGGTGGGTCCAGGCCAGCTCCTCTCTGGAGGCTCGGGCAGCTGCGCCTCCGGCGGAGTCGCGGCTCCTCGCAGCCGGAGGAGTGAGGTGTCAGCCACTCACCAAAAGCAGCAGAGAGCATCGGAGGTCGGGGGAGGGCAAGAAGATGGCAGCTTTCATTGTAGCGAAGGGGTCTCGGGCAGGGAGAGGCGGAGGCGGCGGCCAAGCTCCGGGGGGAGGAAGAGGAGAAGGAGGAGGTGGCGGGGCGGCGGCGGCTGCTCCTCAGGCGACTGCAGCGCCTCGTCCTCTCGACCCGGGGCTCCAGCAACTAACACCCGGGACAACTTCCAAAGAGGGCCCGCACGCCCTCACTTCCAGGTCCTGACCACGCCGGAGCACGCCGGGAACTGTAGTCCCGAAGCCCTTACGGGTCGGTAAGGAAGCCGAGAACTCGCTTTCCCGATAGGCACCGCGGCACTTGAAGGCGCCAGCCTAATTTCACTCCCTGCGGGCCCTCCCCCGTCCCTACTCCCTACCTCCACTTTCCGGCGTAGCAGTTTGGAATAGGAAAGGAGACCCTTATAAGAGAGCGCCTGTCCGCCTGAGCCACAACTACAGTTCCCAGAATGCACCGGAAAAGCACTTGGGTGTCCCGTTAACGCCCCTCTTTCCCAAACTCGGCGGAGACCGGCAGCGGCTTCGAGGCGGAAGTATTCCTCGGGGGCCTGGAGGGTTGGGGGACTTTTACCTACTTCGGTGGAACTGCCTGTGGGATGTCGGTGCTGGAGGAGGTGAGGGTGAGTCGGGGGTCGCGGGAGACGGGGAATCACCTTGAGGGGGACTTGGGGCTATCCCTTTATCACCGACTGTCGAGGGAACCCCATTCCTTAGGGGTCTCACGGTGACAAATTAAGAAAAACACTCCCCTCCCCAACAAGGGGCTGTCAGCACAGATCCATTCCTCTCTTGCCTGGAGAGGTGGGGAAGGTGCCTAGACTTCCATATTCCTGTAGGAATTGCAAGCTCCTTGAGGGCAGGAACTGTCTTTTGCCTCTTTTTGTATCCCTAGCACTTAGCCCGGTATCTAGTAGGTGCCTCATAAATATTGATTGTTTGGAGGGCACATCCGTCAGTATGGTTAAACCTGGATGTAGAAAGCAGGAGGGAGGAACTGGAAGAAAACATTGTGACATCTTGCGGTAGTCTACTTGTTAGTGTTTTATTTACAATGTTTCCAATAATATTCATTAGGGAAATTGATCTATAATTTTTTTTCTCTGTGTTTGCTTTCGCTGGTTAAAGTCTCAAAACTATATTTGTGTTATAAAAGGACTTTGGTAGGACTCCATCCATCTGCTCGTTGGGAACAGTACCCAGACATGGTCAAACCTGTATGTGGGAAGGAGAAGGGAAGAACTGGAAACTAACATCAATCCCAGCTAGCCCAGGCAGGGAATCTGAATCTGGCTCCCCCGAACCCCCTCCCCCCACCAAAAAAGTAGCACTACCCTAGCCTAAGGTAGCTAGGTCATTCTTACTAGCACATAAGAACACGTGCTTTTTAGTATCTGACTCGCGTTTATCTCAGTAGTCATCTTTAGTGACACAGGTCTTTCCAGTATGGGTACAACTGATGTGCTTGAAGCCTAAAGAAAGTTTTCAGGTTCTGTAAAAATGCTTTCAGAAACATAACCCTCCGGGATCTTTCCTGCCAGAATGTCAGCCCTAGCTTTCAGGGTCAATACAATGTGAGCGTGAATGCCTTTACCATCATTAGGAAGCTATCCTCTAGAGACTGATCCAGTAATCCTTGTCATTGACAAGGAGTAACATGATCTAGGTTGAAGAGATTTGTCTTGCAACTCTGCCAGATCTTGAGAGTCTCTGAGGTTGTATTGGCATGCTTTCAGTGGAAACTGCAGTTTTTGACTTTTGGTGCTGGACACTTATTTGGAACCAGTCAATCTGACCTAAGTCAGGCTAATAAATTTTTTTTGTATCTGAAGAATAATATCTTTCCAAACAGTAGCCCAAGGGTATTAGCTACTCCTTGAAAATTGGTCCACCAGTTTGGATTTTCTAGCTCCAAATACTGATGTTATAGCAACAGAAAGAAAATTCAGTTCCCAACAAAGCTATGACTAGTACCTACTATGTGCAAAGCACCTTGCTTAGTGCTAGGAATACAAAGACAGATATGACATGTACTTTGTTCTTAAGGAGTTTACAATCAAATGGGAGTGAGGATTTGGGAAACAGAACACAAATAACTGCTAAAAGAGATTGTGATAAGGGCAAAAGGGCCTATCCAAGCAAAGTATGATAAGAAAACACTTTATGTTGAGAGATATCAGGTAAGATTTTGTGAAGAAAGCAGTACCTTAATTCGGCCTTAAAGAAAAGTACTTCAGCAGAAATTGGCTAGCCTGGGAGAGTAGTAGAAGGAAATCCATTCTAGGCATACAGATAGGAGAAGAATGGACAGTAGTCTAGTAAGGCTAGAATATAGAGAATTAAAAGGGGAGTATTTGAAGTAAGACATAATTGGATCCAGATTGTGAAGGACCTTGAATGTCAGGAACAGAAATTTATGCTGTAATTCGTCGGCCAAGGATAGATTGGACACTAAATTGGAATTCTCTGATTTGCCCTCTCTCTGGAGGCTTTTACTGTAAGCCAGTTGAGAAACATTTAAGTGTTAAGTGGTGGGGATGCAAAGACAGAAGTGAAAGTCTCTTAGGAACCTTACAGTTTAGCCTAGGGAGCCCAATTGTATCCAAAGCCTTTCAACTATTTGAATAGCTGAATATGAATAACATTGCATTGTGTTTAACTACTTGCATTCACTAAATTAGCAACTACTGATGCTTCCAACTCTCCTCCCGTGTTTCAAATATGAAGGATTCTTTCCAAGTATACCTAGTCTGTCTGGGCTGGCCATATGAAAGCATAGGACAGGGATTTAATTTCCAGTTATTTTGTCCAGGGCTTAATCCTAATTTATTTCAGATAGAAATGCATTTGGGACAAAGCACACTCATCAGATTAAGTCTAAGATTTCATTTCAGAGAAAATCCACTTGTGAATTTACATAGGCAGTCATAAAATTGGTCATAGGATAATAAAAGGGTTGGAGCTGAAGGGATCTTAGAGATTATCTACTCTGTCCTCTAATTTACAGATGTGGAAACTGAGACCCAAAGGGATTGAAAATTGGGAAAGAGGGGCATTAATGGGACACCCCAAGTGCTTTTCTGGTACATTCTGGGAATTGTATAAAGTCACATAACTGTTTAGGGGTCATATTTTTTCTATCCTCTTACTTCCATGGTGTACCTCTACAATATCCCTATTAGGAGACCAACCAGTCCCAGGCCAGTGATTTTTCCTACACCATGCTGTTTTTAACCTTTCCGGAAAGATTTGGGGATGGGCAGGGAAGGTGAGCAACAACTTTGCCTTGGGCCCTCTGTTGGCAGCATTGTACTAGGCTATGTGAAACATGGAACATGCTGAATGTATCAGTCTGCATTTTCCTATGTAGTGTCAGGAGATGAGAGGAAAAAAAGTTTTACTAAATGAATCTGTGATTTCATTGATAGGAGCATTCTGTGCAGTGGAGCAGTTTGCAAACCATTCATGCTTTTTAAACCTGTAAAAGTCTAGTCTGTTTTCTTCCATGGGCTCTCCAAAGACTGTTTCTAACACATTAGAAATATGTTGGGAATCTTATATTTCATGGGTACCAGTGGAGTACTTGAGCTGTTACACTAAGTGACCAGTCTCATAATAACAAACAATTAAACAGTGCTCTAAGATTTGCAAAATACTGTACATTTGTTATCTCATTTGTTTTTTTTCCACAATAACTCTGGGAGGTAGGTGCTATTTTTAACAGGCTAAGAGAGGTTTAGTGACTTGCCTGGGTTCACAGAGTGACTGAATGTCAGAGACTAGATTTAAACTCAGATATTCCTGACTCTCAAGTCCAACACTCTATCCAGTGTGCCACCTAGACACCTAAAGCAGTCTACCTTTTCTTCTAATCATGCTAATCAGCTTTACTGCATCTTGCCTATAAGTCTTCCTTGGAAATATGCTGCAGCCTCCTTGGGTTACTGTGTCTCTCCATTGTCTTTTGAGTCACCTGCAGTTTAAATTCTTTATAGAATCTAACATTTGCAACAATATAGTATTGTTGGGGAAACATTTGTGTTAAAAAAAAGATGGCCCTTGTAATATGGAAATATGTTTTACTTCGTGTCACATGTATAATCAAAATCAAATTCCTTGCCTTTTCAAGGAGAAGGGAAGAGCAGAAGGAAGGGAAAGAATTTGGAACACAAAATTTTAAAAAATAATTGTTAAAAAAATTTTACAGGTAATTGGAAAATAGCTAATGGAATAAAAATAGTTGTTTCTTTTTTTTTTAAAGGTAGATCTTGGTGCTGAAGATCAACTTGGGATAATTAAAAATCGCTGCTTAATTTCTCAATTTCAATCTACCTCTCTCTTCTCCTTTCAATTCTGGGCCTTATTCATTGTCCATCTACAGTGCCTTACCCAAAATTCATGTACCTAGGTAACATTCAGCTGCCTGTTGTTTTCTGAATATTAAATAATTTTCATCCTGTTCATTAAGTAATTTTCATCATATTTATTCCTGTATAAGTTGTTATGCCAATTTCTTTTGAATATTTTTAGGATTTAGAGCTGGAAGGGATCCAATCCAGTCCTATTATTTTTACCAATGAGAGAACTGAGGTCTGAGAAGTCACTTACCCAAAGTTACACAGGGAGTAAATACCAGAAGAAGGATTCAAATGTAGGTCCCCTTTCTCCAAATCCATAGCTTTGTACTTTACAGCAGCTGCTACTGCTTCATAGATTTCATTGAGGAGCCCTGATAATGTTCTGGGGTTTGAAATCAGGACAATGTTCCCAAAGGGGGACATCTTGAGGGTCTAACTATAGGAGATTCCTCTTCCAGCTGGACCACCATGACACCTTTGAAATTGATAATCAGAGGATCCTGGAGTAAGATTATATACGTGATTGCATTTATGAAGGAATCCTGTATGATCTTAAGGCATAGATGAAAAACTCTTTATTGTAAGAGCCATTAAGGTTGTGTTTTGCTCTATTGAGTCAAATACTTTTTTTTCTAATCAGCAAACAATTATAAGGAGATCTTGCATTCTTTGTGCCTTTCAGTTAATTATGACTATAAAACTGTAGTCTGCTATAGAGAATCATTTGTGAAAGCCTGTTTATTCTCTTATTATTTTCAAAAAACTTGCTCCATATATGGGTATTGATCATTCTCACAAAGATTTGTAAAGGTGATATAAGTCAGTAATTATTGATGATCTCTCAATCACCTTTTTTAAGTTAATAGTATTATTTGTGATTTTCCTTTCCTTCCCAGGGGAGGAACAGTATTTACTTCCAGAGATATTTTGTAAAAATAAATATATAATCTATATTATATATCATAATATATAAATATGCATAATAATAGTAACACAAGGCTTTCAAAACAGTGTTACCTCCAGCAGGAATTTTTTTGGTGCAAACCTTCTCTGGTCAAGCGTGCTTTTCCTAAATTCATCTACTTAAGATTAACAGAAGAGGAAGTAAAATACTTAAATAACCCCATTTTAGACAAAGAAATTGAACAAGCCATTGATGAACTCCCTAGGAAAAAATCTTCAGGGCCAGATAGATTTACATGTGAATTCTATCAAACATTTAAAGAACAATTAATTCCAATACTATATAGACTATTTGGGAAAATAGGTGAAGAGACTTACCAACTTCTTTTTATGATACAAATATGCTGCTGATACCTAAACCAGGAAGAGTCAAAACAGAGAAAGAAAATTATAGACCAATTTCCCTAATGAATATAGATGCAAAAATTTTTAACAAAATATTAGCAAATAGATTACAGCAACTTATCACAAGAATAATACACTATGACCAGGTAGGATTTATCCCAGGAATGCAGGGCTGATTCAACATTAGGAAAACTATCAGCATAATTGAGCATATCAACACCAAAACTAACAGAAACCACATGATCATCTCAATAGATGCAGAAAAAGCTTTTGACAAAATACAACACACATTCCTATTAAAAACACTAGAAAGCATAACTATAAATGGAGTCTTCCTTAAAATAATAAATAGCATCTATCTAAAACCTTCGGCAAGCATAATATGTAATGGGGACAAGCTAGAAGCATTTCCAGTAAGATCGGGGGTGAAACAAGGATGTCCGTTATCACCACTGTTATTCAATATTGTACTGGAAACGTTAGCTTTAGCAATAAGAGAAGAAAAAAAAATTGAAGGTCTTTGAATAGTCAAAGAATAAACAAAGCTATCACTCTTTGCAGATGACATGATGATGTATTTAGAGAATCCTAGAGAATCAAGTTAAAAACTACTTGAAATAATAAACAACTTTAGCAAAGTTGCAGGCTATAAAATAAAGCCACGTAAATCATCAGCATTTCTATATATTACCAACAAAGCCCAACAGCAAGAGATAGAAAGAGAAATTCCATTTAAACTTACTGTAGACATTATAAAATATTTAGGAGTCTACCTCCCAAAACAAACCCGGGAACTTTATGAACACAATTACAAAACACTTTTTACACAAATAAAGTCAGATCTAAATAATTGGAAAAACATCAGTTGCTCATGGGTAGGCCAAGCTAATATAATAAAAATGACAATTCTACCTAAGCTAATTTACTTATTCAGTGCCATACCAATCAAACTACTCAAAAATTATTTTATAAAGTTAGAAAAAATAATAACAAGATTCATTTGGAAGAACAAAAGGTCCAGAATGTCAAGGGAACTAATGAAAAGAAATGTAGGGGAAGGTGGCCTAGCAATTCCAGATCTTAAATTGTATTATAAAGCAGCAATCATCAAAACTGCTTGGTACTGGCTGAGGAATAGAGTGGTGGATCAGTGGAATAGGTTAAATATCCACGACACAGTAGTCAATGACTATAGTAATCTATTATTTGATAAACCCAAAGACCCCAGCTTCTGGGATAAGAACCCACTCTTTGAAAAAAACTGCTGAAAAAACTGGAAAAGAGTATGGCAGAAACTACGCATAGACCAAAATCTCACACCATATACCAAAATAAAGTCAAAATGGATTCATGATTTAGATATAAAGGCTGATACTATAAGCAAACTGGGAGAGCAAGGAATAGTTTACCTATCAGATCTATGGAGAACAGAAGAATTCATGACCAAACAGGAGATAGAGAACATTACGAAAAGCAAAATGGATAATTTTGATTACATTAAATTGAAAAGGTTTTGCACAAACAAAGCCAGTGCAACTAAGATTAGAAGGAAGGTAGAAAATTGGGAAAGAATTTTTACAACCAGTGTCTCTGATAAGGTTCTCATTTCTAAAATATATAGAGAATTAAGTCAAATTTATAAGAATATAAGCCATTCCCCAATTGATAAATGGTCAAAGGATATGAACAGACAGTTCTCAGATGAAGAAATTAAAGCCATCTATAGTCATATGAAAAAATGCTCTAAATCACTATTGATTAGAGAAATGCAAATCAAAACAACTCTGAGGTGCCACAACATACCTATCAGATTGGCCAACATGACAAAACAGGAAAATGATAGATGTTGGAGAAGATGCGAGAAAATTGGAACACTAATGCATTGTTGGTGGAGTTGTGAAATGATCCAACCATTTTGGAGAGCAATTTGGAGCTATGCCCAAAGAGCTATAAAAATGTGCATACCCTTTGACCCAGCAATAGCACTTCTAGGGCTGTATCCCAAAGAGATCATACAAATGGGGAAAGGACTCACATGTACAAAATTATTCATAGCCACTCTTTTTGTGGTGGCAGAGAATTGGAAATTGAGAGGATGCTCATCAACTGGGGAATGGTTGAGCAAGTTGTGGTTTATAAATGTAATGGATACTATTGTGCTATAAGAAATAATGAACAGGCTGACTTCAAAAAACCCAGAAAGACTTGTATGGTCTGGTGCTGAGTGAAGTGAGCAGAGCCAAGAGAATGTTGTACACGATAATAGCCATTTTGTGTGATGACTAATATTGATAAACTTAACCTTTCCCAGCAATACAGGGATCTAAGGCATCTACAGAGGCCTCATGATGGAAAATGCTATCCGCATCCAAAGAAAGAACTAGGGAAGTTGAATTGCTATATTTTTTCTCTTCTGTTGAGTTTTGTTTCCTCTTTCTGATGGTTCCTCCTATTGGTTTTAATTTTTACTTACAATATCACTAATATGAAAATATGTTTAATAGGAATGTAAATGTATAGCCTATATCAGATTGTGCGCCATCTTGGGGAGGGTGGTAGGGAGGAAGGGGGAGAAAAATTTTAAACTCAAAAGCATTTGGAAGTGATTATTGATACATCAAAATAAATTAATAAAAAATTTTAAAATAAATAAATAAATCCATCAACATAAGTGCCTTATTAACTTCTTTGTATAACACATTGGAAATTGAAATGTTAAAATTTGGTAGTTTTTCTGTTACTAATATGAAAATAGATTGTTGTAAAAATACTGATAAATTTATTCCATTTTCTCCTATTTGTTGTTTTCTTGCCATTTTCACCAGTGAATTCCCTTGGTGTGATTTGGCTCTATTTGGAGGCACCTCAAGCTTTCTACAGACTTGATGTCATTTCTACTGCTTTTCATGATTTTATAAAGTGATACTGGTAATCTTCTGCTGTTCTCCTCTGTAGGTTTTATAAATGAGTTTATATTTCAAACTGATGTTACCCTTCCTTGGCTATCATGTCTCCCCATTTGGCCAGGAGATAAAGTATTTACTGATTAAGGCAGTTTCTGAACTCTTTTGATCTTATTATGGTGATTTCATTATATCAATTAAACTTGGGTGGTGATAAGACCAATATCTTTGCCTTTTTTCACTTCCCATTTTACAGCTTCTCTGAATAACCAGGTTGAATTTATTGAAATTGTTGGCAGTATCTTCCTTCTTTCCTTACCTTTGTCATTTTTTTTTGTAATTTAATTGTGATTTTTTTTTACCTTTGATCAAACTAACTAGCAGTTCAATTGTATTTAAGTCCAGTCCAACTGATTCTAGTATAACTCCCAGAGTAGAAACCAGATGTTTCCTATCTGTTAAGATTTAATTTCATTTTGTGTGTAATTATTTTTCCCAGTGTTCATCATATTTAATGCCTTTGATTTCTCCTGGAATAAAGTGCAGTCATAGTCTTCTGGGTATTCTACAGGTCTTTGGCCTCTGCTTTTTCTGAAAACTGAGCTATATTTGCTAACATACCTTTTCCATGCCCACCCTCCCATTGATATACTCCCATTGAGTATAAAAAGGTATATGGTGACTTTGTTGGAAGATCTTGTCAGGTTCTTAATAGAATTTTTCTGCTTATCTACTAATAAAGGAGTTCTTAACCTGAGGTCCATGAACTTGTTTGGTTTTTGTTAATATTTTGACAACTATGTTTTAATGTAATATTTCCTTTGTGATCATATAGATGTGATTTATTATATATATTTACTAACAGTATTCTGAGAAGGGGTCCAGAGGCTTGACCAGACTCTCCAAAGTGGTCCATAACAAGAAAAGGTTTAGAACACCGGCTCTAACAGATGTTGGTGCATTAGCTACAGTTATCCTCATAGGTCATCTTTTTGTTTATGCTTATTAAGAGCACTGCAAGATAAGAATACCAAGTAGCCCATGAAACTATGTTTCTTAATGCCTTTAGGCATATAATTAAACCAACTCTTCCAATTCCTTTGTTTGCCTTGCCTATGAAAACCAGTAAGCTCTACTTTAACTACAGCTTCCTTTTGTCTTCTGGTCTTGTTTGTTGCAATTCAGTTCTTAAGATAAAGCTCTAACTACAGTTTCTTTTTGTGTAGTCCAATATTTCTAGGGGTCTAAAATCTGATTCCTAGTCTGGCCTACCCCCTTTTCCATTACTCCAGTAGGACCTTCTCCCACTGCCTCTGCCCAACCACCACTCTCCCCCCACAAGATTCAAGACCCTTTTTATTTATATTTTCTTTGTTATGATCATGGGTTGCCATAGTCAAAGAATTCATTATTTAACAACTAACTTATTGGTAAAGAATGTCTGCATACTTAGCTAAATTGGTTATGGGACATCAGACTCGATCTTTCACTGAAACTGTGTTTGAAACCTTATGCCTGAGCTTATGGTGCACTTGAGAGTTCAATGTAATCTCCATACCAACAGGGTAGTATTTCATAACTAGGGAAAAATTTTTTTAGTGTGAGCATTTTTATAAATGGAAAGGATAAATTTTTTGAATAAAGCTAAAAGAATGACTTATGATGACATATGTTATCTATCTATTTCATAGAGATGATAAGAATGAAAGAGGAAGTGGTGTGAGAAACTCTTTTGTATTACATTAATTACATTTTCTCAATTGATTCAGGTTGCATAGGCTCAGAAAACTATGAACACTTCAGAGAGCTGGGTCCTAAGTGGTTCCTCATTAGCATCCCAAGTTCATGCTGCTGCTGTTAATGGAGATAAGGGTGCTCTCCAAAAGCTGATGGCAGGTAAGCATGCTTTTTGAAGTCAGAAAACTTAAAATATAGTTTGGGGAAACTTTTACTTCCTTGTTTTAGAATGTGGGGTTTTTTTATCTCAATTTGAATTTGCAAAGAGTTACTCATTTTAGTAGGAATTGTCCTTTTAGCAAATTATATTTTGTTCAAAGTCTAAAACTTTTCAAAATGAAAAAGTAGGAAGGTTACCTAAAATGGGTTATTTTAAAATAATCATTTGTGTAAGATTGCCGTTAAAAATTAGAGCTACATGAAAATAGAATGAATCAATGCCCACCCAGGAGTTGAAATAAACAGGAAGGGCTTTTAAAAATAGAGTATTTATGAAGCAAGAGAAATGTTAGTAAAATCATGGTGGATGAGAGTTATGGGTTCAGTTCCAGCCTCAGACACTTACTAGCTGTGTGACCCTGGCTAACTCATTTAAGCTCTGTCTCAGTTTTCTCATCTTTAAAATAGGGATAATTATAGCTCCTATCTCCTAGGAGCTACCTGTGAGGGTAAAATGAGATAACATTTATAAAGAACTTTACATATCTTACAGAGCTATGTAAATGCTTGCCATTATGAACCACTTTCCAAAGTCTAATTTAATAAGAAAACTAGAGGTGACATAGAAAATAAAGGATTAAGGCCGAATAATCGAAATTATAGATTAGATGAAATGTGGCTAAAAATTCAATATTCAATAAATATTAGTCACCTACTGTGTCTAAGTCACTATGTTAGTCACTAGGGATACAGAGACACACAAAACAGGCCCTATTCTCCAGGAATTTACATTCTATTGGGCAGTGTGGGGAGGTGGACAGAGTGCTGAACTTAACCTGAGTTTTAACTCTGACCTTTCCACCTGATACTTTGGGACCGTGGACAATCTCCTAGCCTTCCCGGGCCTGTTTTCTCAGGTATCAGTGCGGGTGGGAGCAGAGAGGAAGTGCTAACCCAGCTGACCCCAATTCTGGAGCTGTGATTTAGGATCCTGTGTTGGTGTTAGCCACACCAAACACATAGGTTAGTAAAAATGCAAAGTAATTTGTGGAGGAAGTACGGCTGGCAGTACCAGCTGAGCAGAATAGAAAGGTCTTTTTTTGTAGCAGGTACTACATGAAAATGAGTCAGTCACAGGGGAACATACATGCCTGACTGAACTTGGTCACACACCTTAAGTTTTAAAGTATCTCATCTTTGAAAATAAGAGAGCACTCAAAGTAAATGAAAATAAAGAAGAAAAAATAAAAAGTATAATTACTGCTTTCACAAGGTCATTGTAGTGATCCTGATAATTATCCCCTGGTTACTTTTAACTTTAATCCCTGGTAATAGAAAGCAAGATTGTAGTAGAAAGAGAGTTGGACCTGGGGTTGAATTATGAACGTCACACTTTTTAGCTCCACTGTGACTTTGTGCATGCTCTCTTTGAGAATCCATTTCCTCATCCTTAAAATAGAGGTAATATTTGCAACCTCAAAAGGTTATTGTGAGGAAAGTATTTGGTAAATCTGAAAGAGCTACATAAATATACCACCATAATAAAGGTTAAACATCCAAATGTTATAATGATCAGTTAGCCTTCAACAGTATCTTCAAGGGACCCAGACTGTTTATTTTCATAATGTTTTCATGAGATAAGTAGTGAATGTGATTTTTAAAACATATACCTGTTCATAATTCTTAATCCCTTTTGTTGCCTAGTAATTATTGTTGTACTATGCAGTAATCCAAAATAAAAAGAAATTCAGAACTCTAAGAGTCAAAGAAGAAAGGTGGCAAAAGTTAGGTTATATTGTTTGTTATTAGCATAATTAGTATATGTTTAAGTGAGACCTAAAATTAATGACCACATAAAATGATTACCGTACCCAATTATAAAATACTTTTTACCAACAAGTCTATCTGTTGAACCTTGATTTGTTACCTTAAACATCAGTGGAAAATTGTCCTAAACCTAGAAACCTTAAAGAAAATAAATATGTAACATACTGTGCTGATTTGTGTACTTTAAAGAGCACATATGTGATATATTAATTTTTTAAATGATGATGGTATAAACTAAAATAATTATAAATCATTGGTGTCATGTAATTTTATAGTTTATGTTCCTAATATTGTTAATAAACTGTATAAGTATAGAAAATCAAGTTAACATTAATACTTCTGAAAATGGAAGAAAAACCATGTCAAATTCTTACTTTTTTCTGTAATTTTCATTATGACCCTCTTTGGGAATTTTGAGGAAATAGAAATAGTTCAAGCAACATCATTAATCATCCTCAATTACTTATGTTTTTTCACATTAACATCAGTTGTGTTTTTTAAAAGGAATGCTTTTCTTTTTTATTAAATTAATTTATTTTGATTTATCAACAATCACTTCCATAAGCTTTTGAGTTTTAAATTTTTCTCCCCTTCTCTCCCCAAGACGGCACACAATCTGATGTAGCTATACATATACAAGAATACTTTTCTTTAAGAAAAAGATTTAAACAAATGAAAATTGTTTCATAAGGTATTAGCAAGTACAACACCTCTAGTTTCTGAGGTATAAATGTGAAAACTGAAATAACTAAATTAAAATCTAATGATTTGATAAATAATTAGGTACCTACTCTATATAAGGAATTGTTCCAAGCCAATAGAGATCACAGATTTAGATTGCGAGCTAGAAGAGATCCTTAGATAAGCCCAGATTCCTTATCATAAAGGTGAAAGACATTATTCCTTCTGACTGGAGAGATTATAGAAGATTTCACGGATGAGGCGATAGCTGAACTCAGCCTTGGAGGAGGAGGATTTCTGTAGATATAGAGTCTGTTCCAGGAATAAGAAATTTCATATGTAAAAGTTAAGAAGATTTACATGTAATTGGGGAAAAATAAAATACTAAATTAAAAAAAAAAGCTAAGAAGGTGAAGACAAGTCAAGAGTAGGGAACAAAACAAAAAAAACAAAAAAACTCTGGGACAGAGAATAGAGAATGGGAGGACATGTGTGAAATAAAGCTGAAAAGATAGGTAGGAGTCTTAAATGCCAGGCTGCTTGTGAAGAATTCACAAATCTAAAAAGCATTCATCTGCTAAACTTTTTGAGCTTTACTTATATTAATATGATTATCTTTCTGCAACCCTTATTTTATGAATTACACATTTTCTAACATAATTTTTGTGAATAGATCTTTGCACTAGACCTCCACTTTAATACTAACCAGAGTTGATTTTTATTCCTACACTATAGCATCTATTCAGAGATGACATACTGATGATAACCCTTTTTATAGCAATATCAATAGAGACTGTAAAGTCAATATCACCTTTCACAAAATCGTGTGGAGGCATATGAAAGTAAACATTACAACAGTCCTGGCTATTGAATGGGCAGTATTAAAAATGCTTTCACGTTTAGTTTCATTAATGAAAGAAGGAACGCAATTTTTTTTTAATTTATGTCCTTGATTTGAAGGAATTGGATTTAGTCAAGGGAGAAAAGTTCTCTCTAACACTTACATTGATACAGTGGATCTATGATCTCATCAGTGTGGGATTTAACCCATATGTTATCAAATCAAATCCGATTTATACCCTGTCATGCACAACCCTTGTCCATATCCTCCCTTAAATCTTCCACAGGGCTTCCTTCTAGATCTAGAGGGCCTTCATCTAGATAACTCGACATTGCATAAAAACTAAGAAATCATGATACAGGGAGAATACATCTGTCCAATGATAATACCTTAAGATGCTTCTTTTGAACAATTATTGGTTGGTTCTCTGTTAAACCCTTATCAAGTCAACAGTACTCTACTTTATTGCCCTTTAGAGTGACCTGAAACTTTAATTCTTTGTAAATTGTAATGTGCTGTGACTTGAAATTATACAGGAAGAATAATCACCAGAAGAAATATTGATATTAAGAAGATAGATTTCAGAGAGAAGGTTGGGGTCAATAAAAATACTACTCAGTTTCTCAAAGATAGTCTAGCTCACCGTCTTCTTCGGTCCTTGTCCCAATTTATTGTCTATTCATGGTGTCCATCCACGCTATATGTACTTATGCTCCAGTCCATACAACTATATGTCATAGCTTGGACAGTAGGCATTCTTTATCCACTTGGTTTTTCATGTATTGGATAACTAAGCCAAATCGTTGAGTGATTTATAGATCTTATTTAGGAGATTCTGAATTATTCTGGGGTTTGATGGAGTCAGCAGTGTCATCTACAAATAGGAGCATCTAGAAGATTCATCCACAGGGAATCCTCTTTCATTTGCACTCTGTGTTAGGCATCCCCTATGATAGTGGCATGGTAGTGATTCTTTCCATGTTTTTTTTCTTCCTTTGACATTAATAGTCATAGGTCACAAAACAAATTTATCTTTATTATTACATCTTTCAAAGAATTTTGTAAAAATTTGACATATTCACAGAATACCACCTTGTTAGGTGAGAGCCTGTAAAGTGGTATTTTGCTTTGCCAAATCAAAGGTCTTTTTTTATAGTCAACAATAAGCACAGTGAGATCTCATGTTCTTTGAATCTGTCTTTCAATTCTGACATAAAGATATAGTATGCTATAGAATATCATTTAAAATTCCTGCTATTCCCTTCTCATACCTTCATCAAGGATGCCTTAAAACATGTGTAGATTATTGTAATGAAGATTTTTAGAAATGATAGTCATATAGATCAGTAATTGTTGCTATTTTCTCAGTTGCGTGGGGTAATAGTAAGATCTATGGTTTTTTTCCAAGCCTTTGATTACCCATCTCTCTTTCAGATCTCTTGAAACTTGATCCCTCAACTCACTTAAAAATTTTGTTTCCAGCAGGGACCTCCTCTCTGTATATTTGATCTAGTCCAGGGGTCAGCAAACTATGGTTCACTTCCCTATCTGACCTACTACCTGTTTTTGTATGGCATATGAGCTAAGAATATCTTTTACATTCTTTTGTTCTGTTTTGTTTTGGTGAGACAGTTGGGGTTAAGTGACTTGT